TTGCTGAAGGACGATGTCATCAAGCCCGAGTTCTTTGTCGCGAGTCATCTACTCTGCAGAGCAACTGCCAGTGATGACTTCTGTTCTGGCTCAACCTAATAAGTCGACTCTTGGGCAGTGTGGATGGAAACATCGAAATTGATATACATAGACTCTGAATCGAGTCTGTTGGGATTGAACTAACTATTCTTACAGCAAACTGGGTGGACTGCGGTTGTGAAATGTATGTCTTGCTTGAGATTAATGCAAAGTACATGGTAATCGAGTACATCTCAATTGATAGCGTCCATGTCTAATCACGTGATTCCAATGTTTCGTGAACTCACCTCGCCCTCGTTCATTAGCGGGGTAAGCTTCTCCGCTCTTCAAACGCGGTCGCGCACGCAATCGGCTCCGCCGTACCTCCGACCAACAACAACTCACCTCCCTTGACACATAAACCTTCCATTCCGGCCACACAACTATCCACAACCTCGCCTTGACATCAACCGTAATGTCCGAGCCATACTACCCCATCCCCGAAGTTCAGAATCCAGGACCTGCCGAGATCGATAGGGGCAATGACATAATCGAGGCAACCGCTATTGTTGCCTTCATTATCAGCATGGCGGTTATTTCCTGCTACGTGCTTGCATTGAGCGATCGGAACAAGAGAACGAACAGGACAGCACGAGAATCGGATGTCGAACCGCGAAATGTCCTACCAATCGAATGGGGCCACGGTGCATTCGGTGGAAATCTTGCAGTGGATCTGGAAAGCCGTGGAGTACCGCTAAGGCCGATGCCTGTAGCTCTGGGCCCGTATGAGCTTCCGGAGTACTCTACCCAGAATGGCCATGAGAGGAATGAGAGTGCGGATACGCTGCCTAGGTATGAAAGCCCCCCAGAATACCGCCAGAGTGAGGTGGAGGAAGTAAACTCGAAGTCGCGACAGGAAGGAACAAAGGAAGGGGACTAGGAGGATGGGGGGTGCGGAGGGGAGCTCGTGAATCTGGTGTTCATAAGGGGAAAAGTGGCAAGGGACTTGTAAGTACAGTACCGGATCGTAAACTATGTTGATTAATGTGGAAATAGCGTTTGATGAATCACAGATCATGACGGGCGCTCTGCAAATGGACTGGAAGCTGTTTAACTGTATGACGCGGCATACAAAAGACCTCTTGATGGCGGTCACATCAGCTTTTGCGGGATTTGTGGGGCTGTAAGCTATCTCAAAAGTCTTAGAAAGCTTACTACTAAATTTCAGTTCTCCCATGATATGTCCGAACGTGACGTCATTTAAGAAGGCTCTTTGTTCCAGTCAAAGCGCTTTCATATGGTACAATGGCTTTGTTGAAGCCCAAGGTTTCTTTTGTGATCGCATATTACAATACGATATGGCCTTACGACTGCAAATTAAATCTTATATCAACGTTTTCAACTCACTGTGTCCAGTACCAACTCACGCTCTCACTTAGCAAGATCACACAGCTACATACAACATGCCAACTACCTTACAGACCGTCATCCTACCCCGAGCGGACGCAACACCGTCTCCCTCCAGCGGGGCCATCCAGATCTCACCTCGCATGAGTAAGCCGGCGATTGAGAAAATCTCCCCCAAAGTCATTGTCACCATCATATCCACATGCGGCGGCGTTGTCTTATTCGTAGTACTAATGGGCCTCGCTCACTGCCTACGGAAACGCCGCAACAAGAAGCGAGCAAAGAAACAGCAGCGACAGCATGACTTCGAAACCTGGATTCGACCTAATCAAGGTATATCCCCGTACGCTGGCATGAATAACGATAGCTCTGCTGATATTGATATGGATCGCGTGAGTACACATGTACATACCGGAGCGACTCCTAGGCTCGACCACGTACAGCTTGCGAGCCTAGAGCCAGTGGCTGAGTATAGACAAGGTAGGAAGCAGTCGCCGTGCCCTTTGCGAGAAATGTCTCGACCGCATGCGGTGCCGGATAGAAGTTCAAATAGCATGATGGATACTGTACACTCCTCAGGAACGATGGGCGGGCCGGTGGATATCATGGGTGTCCAAAACCCCAAGCAAGTCTATGATCCCGTTTCGAGAACGACCTATTACTATGGTTAGGGTTCTGGGACTCTCGTGGGGGAATATGTATCATGGCATAGTTTACAAGCATGGTATTGAGCCTGGTTGCCGTTGGCTTGGAGCTCATACCACATTAATCTCTACATTCACACCTGCATCATGCGATGTGAGTGTTAAAACCCTTTGTTCAATCAATAAGAATGCATATATTTCATTATTCCCAACTGCCACGTCTTTGTTACCAAGTAGATGCATTCATTCACAATGTTCCCACAATTCACCACTCCGTAGCTGCCATATTGATGTTTATATACAAAATGTGTTTCGAAAAGGATCGACTAGCAGAAACAATATTCATTCTCTTACTATCTTACTCACTTCACTCGTGTTTTAAGCTTCCTGATTTATTAGGCCGTGGACATTACCTACGCAGAATTAATAAACCCCATCATGATTGAAGAGAGCGGACGACAGATGAACCCTTCACGAGCCATCAGAAGTGAAAGAAAATTTAATTGAACAGCGCAGTTCTTTCCCACTTAACCATCAGTATTTGCGACCCTCGTGACTTCATCGCGATAGTGAACTTGTTTGTCTCAGAAAGACCGACATTCAGCGCCTCGTCATAACATGGAATCACAACACGCATATTAATATCACTAATTGATTCCTCTTTCCCATTTTTCCATACTTTCAAGATTAGTGCTCCGTCCCTACCCCAAATCCGACATCGAGAGTTGCCTTACGAAAGAACGCATATCTTAAGCAGTTCAAAAGCACGCGCAAAGAACCCAAACATGACGCCTATTATGATCATTGCAGCGGCGTTTCCTATCGTGCTACTAGTTTTCGTCATCGGCGGGGCAGCAGGATATTGTATAAACCGGCGAAAGGCGGATGAAGAACGACGCCGCTTAAACTTTTCTCGCCATCAAAATTCCGCATCTATCACCGCCCGAACGGGTATTTGGCCACTGAGCAGACAAAAACAGGATCATGATCAAGAAGACATAGAGCTTGGGCAAATAACACGAAGTGCGGAAAAGGGCGAGCTTGGAGGTGGAGAAGAGGAGCATGAACTTGTGGGTGTGAGGTTGGCAGAGCCACCGAAGGCTAAAGTGGGAATACATCGTGTTACATAAAATAACGTTCGTCAATATCTCTAAAATAAAGATTAGAGAGGACCCCTGTCACTGGGATGCTTAGGTGCGCGAACATTCCTCGATCGGGGTCTACATAGCAACAGCGTGGAATCTGCCCGCCCTTGCTTGCGCTACGACAACAATAATATTAAACACATACAAAAGCAATATATCAGCCAAACATACTGATTTCTTTTGAACTTCTAACCAGCTCACCTCGCCCATCCACTATTCTACAGCGATGTCTCCTATCTCAATCTTCACAATCGCAATATTCATCGCTACTGCTCTCGCATCCGAGAACCTCGAATCTACAACAGTAGACAGTCCAACTGTTGATTCACCACAAGACAGCACTGTTCTTCCGCCATTCGCTACCTCCTTTGCCGATACGCCCAGCTCGAGCCCAAATTCTAGCGGTCAGGCTGGATCGATCCTTGCGGCATGCATTGTCAGCATTATTGTGGGAGTTGCTGTTGTTGGGATCTTCGTTACATGTGCAATGAGAGGGTTTAGATTGAGGAGGGGAGCTGAAGAGAATCAGGATGCGGAAGCTACTGGAGAGAGAAAAAGAAGCGATGACGATAAGAGATGGATCGACACTCCTGAACCAAAGGCTATCGAACCAGTTAGGGTTTGGTCGTAAGTGAATTGCTGATGTAATACGGAAACAATTATGCTGATATCTATAGGTGATTGAGCTGATCCGCATGATCATGGCCTTGTGGAAGCTTGCGCATTCTGCTACTCTTCCGTTGCTGCCTTTCTTATGAGTCTCGGAAGTACCCATAATCAATACATGCGGTCATATATGCGTATGATGGCCACATACTGTACCTGTCTCGATGCTACATTCTTCTACAACGAGTGTTGGCTTCTTTCATCGACTCTTCTCTTTGTCCAGTCCATGAACTAACAATAGATCTTTCATTTCACCTACAAACAAAGCCTTCCTCTTTGTATCGGTAACTCACAAGGGCCTGTCATCGTACACAGGATTTTGCGTTCACATTGTACTGTGCAGAGATCCATATCAGAAACATGTATAAATACTAGACTTAATACTATACAAGGTTTCCAGAATCATTAATTATTGCCATCTGTGATCCCAATATCCAGCATGCGAACTTCTATCGTGCTTGCAGTCTTCACCATGGTGACGAGCTGCTTTGGTTCTTTGTGGGGCCTCACACATCCAGCTGGAAATGGAACTTCCAACAACGAATCCCAGTCATCTACACTCGCAAATGCGTCATCTTCGGGGTCGTTACTATCCTATACTCAGAATTCTACTGAGCTGCCGTCAAACGCAGTCACACCTTCGGCATCCTCTACCGGCGATACAGATATCGTCAGCTTGACTGTCAAAGTCACGCGTGTCGTTACAGTCAGTCCATGTGCCGAACCCACCGATACAAGTGTCGTCAGCTTGACTGTCAAAGTCACGCGTGTCGTTACAGTCACTCCAACTGTCAAAGCCACGCGTGTCGTTACAGTCACTCCACCTGCCAAAGTCACGCGTATCGTAACAATCACTCCAGATTCCCAGTTACCGCTATCAAACTTAACTTCTCATAAGCGAGCACGATTCCTAACGTCCAATCCAGAAGCTGCAAAAGATGACAGGATGTCTCCAGAAACGAAGCTTGGTATGATCGTGGGTTTTATTGCTGGCTTTGTACTTATTGCTAGGGAGATTTACGGTATATTTACCAGGACATAACGAGCGACAACTTCTAGACGGTGTCCTTTTACCTCTATATCTGTGTAATTGTCTCTAGGAATTATATAGTATATTAAAGGGCATGTGGTCTAGTGGTAAGACGCTCTATGGGGTTGAGGTAGGCCTACTCCTCCTTAGAGAAAATTAGGTTCGATTCCTAACGTGCTCCATTTTTTGTTATAGGGTGCTTGGGATGGAGAATGGAATCGAATTGCTTTATAATGCGTTGGATTTTTTTTAACCGGATAATCGATACGCAGACGCCAAGACCTCGCCAAATTTCCGCAACAAACTCACCCCCACAGGACATGTTAATCTTGGCAAACTCTTGGCCGCGGCGAATAACGTAGTCACCCGGGTATGCCGGGTCAGTGGGTTGTCTAATTACATATGTAATCTCTTACCCTATCCAATAGCGCGTTATCATTGGAGATTATCTTCTTCCTTACAAATCATACGAGGGCTAGCTAAATTTAGAATTTGTTCTATGCCCCAATGGCTATGGGGCTCACCTAAGACTTCTTGCCTTTCAGCTAAGGCTTCCAGCTCTAGAACACGAATGCAAATAACACATGTCCACTGTCATAATCACGCTCATATAAGCACCATCTTAACCGGTGTACGAATTCATATTATATTCGACCAACCCTGTTACAATAGGATACTTATCACGCATACTGCCTTCGCCCACATTTATCCAAAAACCTTCGCATTAATTTCTCCATCCTCCTTTTTACATTCGACAAAGAAGAATTTATTTCCAATTCTGAAAAGACTCCGGAGATATGGTGAAAGTCCTCCCTCTCGAAAATCCAGTCACGGCAGAATGGGGACGTACCATTACGCACAACGACTACAACAAGATGCTAAAGGGCTTTATGCCACAAGACATGGATGAGAAGTGGATGATCGCCACCGACACGCCTGGCGCCCAGGGAAATACTGTCGTTCACATTTGCAGAAGCTGGACATCGAAAGAACAGTATGCGCTCACAATCTCTGCTGGCAACCCCAACGATACCGACGCTAAGGATTGGGGCAAAATCGTCAAGATATCATGGAATGATAAGTTTATGGGAATGTTCATTTCTGAGGAGGAGGCAAAAAAAGAGGCTGTTGGTTTTTGCAAGTGGCTCTTGCGTTGCGAATTAGAGGATTGATCTATGTTAGATCGGGTATTAATAGCACAATAAAGGGCATTTGCAAAGCATGACCGTAGTAAAAAGTCCTCGAATTCATTCAGAATGTTTATTTCTTTGTTGTCACTTGCTACAGCCACGAGACAGATGTTTCAGTACAGTGGTTCTTTGTAATAGCCGAGGTGCAATAACCTCTGACTGGGACACAATCCTGCATCATGTTACCCGAGGCTGTAGAACACATCATTAGCGGTTGAATATACAAATCTGTGTCGAGGGATGCATCTCAGACAGGCCAGTTTGTAGTTCTAGAGGATGCTGCTGCATAAGCTCACCGTTTTTGCAAACTAAGAAATGTTTCTTAGGGCATCTTATGCTTCAGGTTTATCTAGAACCGTCCACCGTGTATTACCATATAGTAACACATGAAAAACTGTCTTCGGATCTTCGTTCACTCATGGCGTATGCAGATTATACAATGCGTCTTCGCTTAAAAGTGCCCTATAATGCCAAGACACGTGATCTATACATTATGTGGACGAAGCATTGGTTTCCGCATTTCTATAGTGAATAGATTTCTAGCCGATTTTGCTACGTTTTCGGGTGATGTACTCTCTACCGAACTGCAAGGTCACGCTGTGTAGCGCTACACGTGAATGCATTTTGAATAACTTCTTCTAGAACAATTTTGTGAAGGGCGTAATGTTCTATGCGACTTTGTCACGTTGCATTGTGAGACCACATTGTGTGAAATGCGCTCCTTGCCTCTTCATTCCACTGGTTGCTTTATAATCTCCTTCCCAGTTCTTCCCACGAAGACCTTTCAACACAACCCATCAAAATTCCAACGAGCAACTAACCCCCCTGGAATCAACTAAAAATGAAGCCTTTTCAATGGCCGACTCCTACCTCAGTTTATGTTAACTACACCACGGGTACTATGACACCGACCATCTGCATAGGGAGCGTGTCGTCGACACCGACTAAAATAGGCCAGTCTATAGGATTCCTTGGTCCGGAACTTTCTGTTAGCACTGGAACTTCGGCATTTCGAGGCTTCCTCGGTCCCGAGATTTCTGCAAGCACTGGAACTGCAACAAAGCCTCAAGGATTCGTTGGCCCAGAACTCTCTGTAGGTACTGTCAATCCATTAGTACCGGCCAACGGTATATCATACATATCTCCAGACGGCATTCGTGGTCCGTTTGCCCAGAATATGAGCACGAAGCGAGCTGGCCAGGGGCCTGAGGAGCAGAAAGGACAACCTGATTGGTTCTTACCTCTCGTGATCATACTTCCTATTCTCGGAGTCATTGGGATTGCTGGGGTAGCGCGACTTGTGTTCGTCAAGGCCCGCAATTATAAGCTTTCTAAGAAGAGCGAGAGTGATATTGAGGCTTTCACTAAACAATCCCACGCTTGTAAGCCTCGTGTCTTTGGGTCTGAGGAACCCAAAGTATAATGGTAGTGACGTGAAGTAAGATAACTACCAATTACAGATTGCTATATCATAGTGTAAGGCTAGTCAGAGATAAACAGTCGTGAATCTCACTTTGGCGTTGTAATACCTTGTATACCTTCACAATTTAAAATATGAACTCCTGACTTAAGACATTTTCCTGCATAGTGACCAACTTTTACCCCAATCCCTCAACCCATCTCTTTCTTGTCTTATTCTGGTCCTCGTGAAGGAAATAAGTTTTACTAAACATAAATATATATCTTGATCACCTGTGAGCGTTTCTAAAGGATAATGCCACCGCTATGAATAACATGGAAGGCTTTAGTGCGCAAGTATCTCGTCAAGGCAATGATACTGCACGAGCCTTAATGCGTAGCCTCCTGTAGTACCATAACGGGGACTGCAATATATAAGCAACTTAAGTAGATAATCTTCAGGCTTGAGGACATTATAACCGCGTAGCTAGCGGTGTGTTTCCTGACAGCATCTACAGATTACTATTGATTAGTACGACCAAGATTCTCATATGGCCTACGTAGCTACCACACCGTCATAAATTTAAAACTACTTATAATCACTAACGGCCAAATTGATCTATTCCACTCTACACGGGTTGTTAATCTACTACCACGATAGATAAGAAAGTACTATCAGAACAATATAATATCATGAGTATTATGTTGATTGTTGAACAATCTGTACCTGCAATGGTACATCGAGTGCCGTTTGCTGCACCAAGCTAGTCCTATTAGGGTTGCATAGCTGACTAAATATCCTGTGCCACAAACCTCCCCGCACAACTATCCATCACACAACAATTACCACCAAAAGACTCGTGGGCGAAGTGATTTCTCCAAAATGAGTGGGCGCTTCTACTGGAGTTACCCAGGCTTAGATTGGTCACAGTTCCACTCTCTTGCAAACCTCCTCTCGCTTCGAAATGGCGGCCAGGTCGAGCCTTCTTCGTTTTCTAATACAGTGCTTGACGAAAACTGGGATTCCGACGACAGTGGAGATGCGCACACATCCAGCATCGATACTGGACTGGCTAATCAGATATCCGATTCGGGACATGGGAGTCTGAAACAAAAGTTTCTCGATCGCATGGCAGAGTTCGCGGCTAACGAGAGTGGCGGGACAGCAGTTGCCTGCTCCATCATGAGAGAAGCTGAAAACAATGTCATTATCTGGATTGCTCGCAATAACGGCTTCTCGGACGTGGATAGGACTACGTTCGATAAATTGGGGAACCTCTTGGGTTGTTTATCTTGCAACAACTGTACGTTTCGTCTAGCTGCTATATTTATATATACTAACCCCATGTTCCTTCCAGATCGTGAACCGGAGACACCTTTATGGGAAGAGATGGTCTCATATCAGCAGAATCGGATCAAGAACAGTTACATTCCCAAACTGAGGACAAGCTTCGCAGCTTACGATGCTGTTCGCAAGACAAACGATACCCACACACCAGAGAGCAGTTCAGTCGCAGATGCCTTATCTGTGCTTCGCACCCATCTTTTCGATGGCAATATTCATGGTACAAGCACCCTTCAAAAGTACACGAGGCTTGCTATGGCATCATACAACCTGCGTCGGACACGAATCGTAGAGGTACTCTATAGCTCTCCAAGCGCGACTTCTAGATCGAAGAGCCTGTGGTTAGATATTTGCATGTTCGCCCGAATCCGTGTCGCATTCGAAAACTTCAAAGACATTGCTGTCACGCTTCCGAGCTTCGCAAAGGTCACGATCGTCCTGGTCCCACGTCCTCCTGTTCCAACAAGCCCATCACAGCGCCCGCTCACATTGGATCAGATTTTCGGCATCCTCCAGCTTGATCTGGGTCCTCCAACAACAGAACTCGTTCTAGGTCAGAATTGGACTATGGATAGGATCGGACGCGAGTTTGCAAAACGACAGAAGCAAAAGCTTAACGTACACGCCGAGGTCCAGATGCTGATGTTTTTGAATACCAATGAATCATCCAAATTAGGTGTTGTCCCGTATATGGGATGTAGCAAGCTCAGTTACTTCATGTGCAATTGTTTTCTTCGGTCATACGGGCAGTTCAAAACAAGAGGATGTCATGGACGCCTCTTCAGACCATGGACCGTGCCACATATGGACCGGCTTCTGCCCAGACAGGCCGAACGGATAGCAGAAGCTCTTATTTCAGTGCAAAGGGCAGTTGAGGAGAAATTGATAGCCCCACTCGAGGGCCGTATTCAACACGAACGAACTTCAGTTATCGGCGGAAGCAGCATCCGAGGCGGAGGACAGGAGGACTCACAGAGGCAACTGCAGATTAGTCAGCTAAGGATGGAAGCAGAACGCGACAAAGTTGCAGGAATCTTCAGAAGGTGTGTGGTTTTCAAATATAAGACGCTTCTTTCCAATACTCCACCAGAATATCTGCGCTAACATTCATTAGACAATCCGAGAGTATAAACCATCCAAACCTAGAAGTAGATGAGCGAGAATCCGACTGTGAGATTTGCATGAGACAGACAACGCGACAGTGCAGCCGTTGCCAGAAAGGCTTCTTCTACAGCGCATCCTGCGAAA